CTATACTAACGATTTGCTTAGTTGTAACGCCTTTTAGTACAATATTTTTCGCTGTCGCTCGCAGTCCCTTTTCCAACACATCCGGATGATTTCTTTCGAACTTCATTTGTAAACAATGAGGTCTGGGTATGGCCATGTTGACAGCTTTTCTCTTATCTCGAGCAATCGGAACTTTTTCCGCCACTCCATGTTTCACAGCTGTAGAATAGGAATTCATAATAACACCTAATTCGCATTAATGATTCTTACGCGAAGCGCTCAAGTAACATAAACTCGAAGCAAGCGCCTCGAGCGAGTCCGAACATAACCAATTAATTAATAATATTAATTAATAACCAATTAATGGATTAATGGAATTGCGCCACCCTAATTGGGGCTGGACAAATACACCAGAAGTGGTTTTAGGTTTACAGTTATCTGCTCAAGACAATTTCTTTGGTAGATGCAAAGCGCTGGAACAGATGGAGATCGAAATTAATAACGACATAAATAGGTAACGATGCACAAATATATAAATTGTTTACCAGATTTGATATTTTCTGAAATAATATTTGGCAGTGATTGGTGAGGTGATTTGCTCAGATTTGAATGTTTGACAAATGACATTATTACACAATACTCGTATTCTAAAAAACTAGTGAATGTTTTGATCACTACTTGGTGCCTGAATTAACCACATTATCATGATATGATATTTAAAAAAAAACACTAATATTTTCAGCATGAATATTGGAAAGTTGGCTCTATATGTGATGGCAGTGAAATCTTCATGCAAAAATCCAAGGTCCTTTGCTGGAAAAAATCTAGTGAAGGTTCTGAATCAAAGAGTTAAAAAACAATTCTCTTATGATGGTGAGTATAATCGATTACACTTATCAAAATCTAATCGGCATCTTCTTATCTCTTGGACAAAAATTTCTAAACAATATCATTTTTTTAAAATGTTGAATGGAAATTTTTTTTTCTATAACCCAAAGATTACGTGTGATCGAATCACGTGAAAAATAGGACTAAAAAGCTTAATGGGAATTAAAAAAACCATTGGATCTGTGAATACCCTACTAAATTAGTTTCAGATACATGATGGAAATCAAACATAACATGCGTGAATTGTTTGAACTGCTGTTTTTTCGCAGCATTACGAATTTATGGGGAAAACAAATGATTCAATCCAGTGAAAAATATTTGAACGTGTGTCGATGACGCACTATTATTCTAAATGGTGTAACCTCAACCGGGGAAAACCGATAACATTTGTTGAAAAGGATTAGCATTCACAATTTACGCGAGAATAAAGTTGATTTTTTAAATCTTGATCTGTCTCGGTTGTGAGTGCTTCGAGCAACAGGAGGCGAGAGTGATCATATTCCCATAAACATCATACGCTTGATAAATATTAGTTTCTGACTTGTTGACTTATGCTTGAAATTGATACGAATATCACCCGCATGATCAAAACAATTGGTAGTCGCCTCTTAAAAGTACACAACATGTTTTTTGAATTCGCGTTCCAACGTCATTCAGGCATATCCCATTCCGTGAATATGACGAATTTGTTGACCAAACACTTCACGTTAAAGATAGGATATGAGCCCCAGTTAGTGGATTTCAGGCAACAGCCTCAGACAAATAAAATACATACAATGTATAACTGCAGATGAATCGCCATATACATCAGGCATGGACGCGTCTATTTTATTGGGCGCAAAGTAAACACTTTTCCCTCTGATTGATGTATCGATATTCGATTTTATTTTACCTCATTGGAATAGTTTTCATGGTGAATGGTAAACTTCATTCCGTTCCGATTCGGGGCGCAGCTGAGGTCTTACCGATAGCGTTACGGCATCTTCCTGTCCATATATTTGAGCATTGCTCTCCTGTTTTATTGAAAATAGGCCGCTCTTGCAAATTCTCTTTTTCATGTATATTTCTAAATGACGAACCCACGCAAAATACGATTTTTTTTCAGGCAAACCGCAAACAATTCCTTACGACAGATACTATCGGTTTGGGTTAGCAGTGGGAGCATTGTGTGTCAATAAGCGAAAGACAAGGAACTGGGTTGTTGGAAAATTATTAAAAGGACAAAATACTGATGGAAGCTTCGGCGATGTTCATTCTGTCGGTAAGTTTCTAAATTCTATTCCATGGAGTCAATAGTGACCCTCACTTTGAGAGTATTATTATCAATATGTAATAGAAAATTGTTCAAACGTTAATTAATTCTCGTCGTTAACATTTTATTGTTTAATAATCCTCTATGTGCGAATTTATATTCACTATAACAATTTTTATAGATGATGCAGCACAAATTCTTCTTGCTCTTTCCTGTGTCAAAACCGAAGTTCGACCTTGTTATTTGACACGAAAAATCAAAAGATCCATTGCAAAATTAGTATCTTTCTTGAGGTCAAAAGTGATCACTGAAAGTGGCGACGTATGGATAGGAAATAAGTACTCATCTTCATCGTCGGTATTGGGGCTTATGGAAGAAGATGAGGAAGAACCAAGTACATGGAGATGTCGGTGGGTTACATAAAGCTTGTTAAGTTAAGTTTCGTTTAACAATAAAACAAACCCTAAATACATTGTTGAGTATTATATTGCATTTGCTATACTATGCTAATTTCGATTATTTTACAGAGATATTATGGGTAGTCTGGCCGTCAATCCTGGATCTCTCGAAAATGAAGGAGCATTTTCTCAACGACTACCAGCTTTAGCAGGAGATAGTTATTTGGATTTAATGGACGAATGGCAATGTCAAGACCCAGGTAATAGATAACATTGTATAAAGTTTCACAGTACTCTGTCATGCTATTTGATTTACTGCGACAAAATGAGCGGTAATACGAGTGAGAAATGTGTTCCGTATCTTTTTATTATACTAATTAGCTATATTTCATCAGAATCGAATATTCAAAAAGTTATCCTACGCTGCACACAAGCCTTAGTTTATTAACAAACATTCTATGTGTTGCAGTTTCTATCCCACCAGACTATCAACCGAAATGCAACACAAGTGATCCGTCAACGTGCTCTCCCGCCACACCCACCAACGAGCCGATACCTTCTATTCCTATCGATGTACGTCTTACAATCTTCACCGATCCTCCACCAACCGTTGGAAATGTTTCTAATGCCGACGTCACAGTGACTGTGAATAATGGAAGTACATTATACGATGCAATGGTCATAGCTAGAGATAACGGACTTATAACGTAAGCTGAATTCATATTTGGATCATGTTTTTCGCCTCTGCCTTTCCCTTCATTTTAAATTTATTTTCAGATTTGTGAGTCAAACATCGACTTGGGGAGAATCTATTAAATCAATGCAAGGAGTGGCAGCAGACGAAGCGGCGCATGAATATTGGGCACTCATAGATGGCGCCACGGGACAGTTGTTATCGAAAGGAGTAAGCAGTTATGTTCCCAGTGATGGAGAACAGATAGTTTTCAGATTGAAAACATGGTAGTGATAATTATATAATGATGAGAACCAAGACTTACACATTGCAAAGTTAAACTGAATAAAAAATGACATGATTATTATTATTTTTTTTTTCAACTTTATTTCAATACTTGTTGGCAATTTTAAAAATTCTGAAATTATGTCAATAAAAATAATATTCCTACTTGTTAGCATGGTGGTTTGGTCTGTGAAGCAGCGAATGCAAAAGTGGGTCACACTAGCGAAGAGGTAGCAATCATGGTTTCGTGTCTAACGTATGATGAAGCAGCGAATGCAAAAGTGGGTCACACTAGCGAAGAGGTAGCAATCATGGTTTCGTGTCTAACGTATGATTGCTTGGGAAGCAGAGTTTTGCCCAAACTAACGAATTTTTAATACTCATTTCAATGTTAAAAGCGAGTTGATTTTGGTAAATGGAATGTTTGTCTAAACAGGTCAAGGAAAACTCCGAAGTAGCTTATTCCCAGTGTTCTGGTTGTATCCGACATTGTGGTGTGCAAATGATACCGGCCTAAAATATAAACAGAAAATGAACTATTTAGTGATTTTAAGCTTCAACCGCAGTAAAGCCGTTAGGTTTTTTTGAATATGTTTATCTCTAGAGGAAAAATATCATTGTGGTGCCCAGCGGCGAAGTAGCACCTGATACTGCTTTTAAACTAGTACGAACACAACAAGTTTTAGCGAAACTTATCTTACCACAAAGGAAAGTCCCATAGTTTTAAAAATATACAATTTTCCTGGATGGCCCAATTAAAAATGAGATTATAATAGCGCAGCCGAGCATTAATTAAACATACTTTGGTGGCTAATATCAATTCCAACGAACGTCTTTGTTTTCGTGTTTGTTATTTTTGAATATAATTTTAATTTCATGAATTTAATAAATTTGACAAGACTAATTCTGCATTAAAGTCAATTTTGTTTAAAATTAAATATTTGATACACTGATACTGATTGGTCAATCAAAAAGACCTGTAAGTCATTTCAAGGTATGTTCTCGATATCTGAGAACTTGTTATGTTCAAACAAAATAGGAGAGAGAAATGAAAATGAGATAAATAAATATACTTCCACCAAATTTTCAAACGACACATCGGGTTTTTATAGAAACTGATACAGACGTGGTTTTAACAAAACTCTTTTACACACCAATCACTGAAATTATAATATCTTCGGACATCGAGCAGTCATGATCTGCACTTACTTGTGAAAGTCGCGTGATTAATAGTTTATTCCTTGATAAGGATTTGCATGTGTAGAAGGATATTAAAAAATGAAAAATGTATACCATGTTACCAATTCAGTCGTGTTACGTTGTATAAATCTTAGTCGAGAACACTTAGTGCTGTAAACTGATAACTGTGGAATTAGTTAGTAGCCAGATCAAGTTATTTTAGATGTGGATCAAGCCGGTGGTGACACATTTTTAAAGGCTACGAATCTATTCTTTGAGAATGACCGATTCCTAGCAAACACAACCGTAGTAATATTTTATCCAGTGTTGTTTTAGTGTGCTTTGAATTAGGTTCAAACATATCATTTAAGCTATGCAGAAGCATATAACAATATTGTAGATACATTTATCAATAGGTTGCATGTGCGGAAATTTTAATACATATAGCCATCCTGGAGTCCGTTCACTTGAGTGAAAATGAAGTATGTGGTCTTCGTCACGTCTCTTCTCCTACTATTAGAAAATGTCTTCGGAAATAGACGGGATACGTTTAAGATATGCGGTAAGATTTAATTCATGTTTTACCATGATTTTATTTGTTTTTTTTATTGGTCATTTTATTTCTATACTATCTATGTAAACGACAGTCCATTAAGCGGATATTCGTGGATCTCACTTTTAGCATGAAAAATTTTTCTAAATAAGAAGCACGTCAACGGTAAGTACATTGTTGAGATGTCCAGCTTATGCCAGTTTCATGTCAACCATATTTTTCTATTAACTAAAAACAAGCAACATCAAATTTTTTCAATTTCTAAACCAGGAGAAGAAAACAATAAGCCTGTAACCCACGTTATCAACAAAGCCGTTGATCGCCTAATGAAATTGCGGCACCCATCATGGGGATGGACAAATACACCAGAGGTTGTATTGGGATTACAATTGTCGGCTCAGAATAAATTTTACGGACGGAGAAAATCTCTGGAGCAGATGAGAAGTGAAATTGATGACGACTATAAAGAGTAAGTGTACGCAAAATAAAGAGATGAAGAAGGAGGGAAAACACTAAAAATTATAATTTTACAGGATGAGCATCGGTAAGTTGGCACAATACATACTTGCAATTCAATCGATGTGTGAAAACCCAAGAAATTTTGATGGAAGAAACCTTCTGAAAACATTGGAAAAGCGGATACGAAAAGGTAAACAATTGTTGTTGTGTTGGTTTGCTGCACAATCAGACAAAAATTGCCATGAAGACTTATCATTTATTTTTAACCATTGTGTTTGAATTCTTAGAAAATCCGGATGAACAGTATTATAGTTTTGGTCTGGCATTGGGAACTGTTTGTGTGAATGGAGGTCATATCAAGATGTCAGTCGTTAGGAATTTGTTGAAAAAGCAAAATGAAGATGGAAGTTTTGGCGACAAACACTCCGTTGGTGAGTAATAATAAGTTTTTTAATTCAATATTGCTGACAAAAACCAACCACCAGTACATTTTAGAAAAATCTCAGTTCCCGTTAAAAAAGTTTTTTTTATGACCACAGCGCAGCAGCTAACGTCCACAAACAGGTAGATTTGAAAACATCGTATTTTTATTTTTCAAGTTTTTTTTTATAGTTCAGTGCTTCCCAACAGTGAGTCGCAAACTGAAAAAGCTTGAAAAACACTATTATAGTTGATTGCTATAAAAGCAATATTGATATTTAAAACATTTTGCAGATGATGCCGCACAGATGATCCTTGCATTAAAGTGTGTCGGGTCTGGAGTTCGACCACGATTTTTAATGAAACGCGTTAGAGAATCGGTAAAGAAATTGGTCAATTTCTTGGATTCCGAAGTTAAAGTTGTAGAACAGAATACATTCATTGGTAACAAATACTCGTCTCCTCTATCAGCTCTCGCCTTACGTGAAGCCGACATTGATTCTACGGACACTTGGAAATGCAAGTTCGTAATGAATAGATTCCTACGCGATTACTTAAAATGTTCAATTGTGCGTGTGTGTCTCAATAATTGGACATTCTTTTTACAGGGACGTGATGAAAAGCCTGACTGGTTTTGATGTACCAGAGACAGAGGGTGTTTTGTCTCAGCGTATACCATCTCTGGCAGGCAACAGTTATCTTGATTTGGAAGTCGGGTGGACATGTAAAGCTGAAGGTTCAAGAAATGTTAAAAAATGTTTATAATAAAATATTTTTATAACTATAAAACAAGAAACTATATTTTATTTGCTTTTAGGTAGAGATTATTTTTAGTATATACCAATATTTGAGCCGGACGTGATTTTTGGTATAACTATGCAACATAAAATTATTGTCACTGCAAAGTGCCAAATTCCATTTCATGATACTGCATCTAAAACTGGTTAACTATTTTCTGAGTAGTTGACCTTATACAATTTGAAGGTTTTACTATATTATTGATAGAACGTGATGTTGTTCTGGCGATTTTTGTCTTTTGTCAAATGCCAAGCTCTTTAACCACAGATTCGCACCGCAAAATCAAATGTCTTTCGACATAAACAAAGTGGTCGCAGTCTGTATCCATAATGAAGAAATAGTTGAAGCAATAGTTTTTATTTTATATTTTCAGTCTCCATACCTCAAGGATATCAACCAAAATGCAATCCTATTGATCCACAAACCTGCTTTCCCAACGTTGTTGGAGGAATTCCGATTAGCGCTAGGTTGACGATTTTTACTAATATGCCCCATGCAGTTAATGAAAATCCGAATACAGATGTTTCTGTTATCATCAAAAACGGTACAACGTTGCACCAAGCAATGATTGAAGCACAAGCCGATGGGTTGATAACGTAAGATAGTTAGAAACTACAAAATAGTAGGCCAATGATTTATTGCTTATATATCCACTATATTATGGTCAAGAGATATTGTAGCCTGAACTCTTGTTCTATAATTGCAAGTATAAATCTGTAGCTGTGGATGATGTTGGCACCGTGAATTTGGTCAATTCGAAGCTTACTGCGTTATGTCAGATTAATAGGAAATATTGTAGCCGAAACTGTTTTTCTATATTTGCAAGTATGTATCACTTGCTGCCAATGATTTAGGAACAAAGCCAAAACTAAAGTTAGCGTCAAAATTCAAATATATTTCAATAGAAAATCACCTCCTATCTCCGATATATATATATATAACTGCAAGCATTCAGGTCCGCAAGACACATCAAGAAAATTTGAAAATAGAACTGTCATGAATACGTAACCATTTTAGAATTTGATTCTGTATCCGATTTCACAGCATGTACAAAGCCGCTCAAAACATTGCTGTCTCTCATTTTGGGACTGCACCATTTCTATAAATAAACTTTATCTTATTTTTATTTATAGTATTTTCACAAGACTAATACAAGGTGTAAATTATACATTATCTCAATAAAAACGATAATATCTATTTGGCAGGTTCAAGACGGTTTCATATTCGTTTGGAGAATCTGTCACAAGTCTGCAAGGTGTAATGGCTGATTCGAGTGCAAGACAATACTGGGCGATGTTAAACGGAAAAACGGGTGAAATTCTACCAGTGGGAATAAGTGCTTACGTACCACACGACGGAGACCAAATCATATTTAAGCTGCAGACTTACTAGCCTTCTTTCAAGGTTAACAGTTCTGCTAATATTACACCGAAAGATTACATTGTTGTATTGAATTGAAAGGATTGATCCTTTGAACGCATTGCCTATTTACGTTTCATTTGTTGAATTTTCGAGTTTAGTAAGTTTTGAAATATAAACAACAGTGTCTTGTAAAATTCTATTGTATATATAAAGTTTGGAATCGCATATTTGGGTATTAGTATAGTTTAGTATGATTGGGTTACGTTTTAGCGCAGCACTGACACTTTGCGCATTATTAGGAATTATTTTGACTAACCATTATTAATAAATCCAATCTGTGGTTTTTATCAAATACTGTGGCCTACCGCTTGTATCCGCACAATTTCTATGACCGCTTGCCGATGCCCCGAAGCAGGGGGAGTGGAACACCAGCAGTGCAACTGTTTTACGAATTTTGTTTCAGACCCACTCAGTGTAAACTGACTTTCAGAATTTCAAAGTTTGAACTATGACAAAATCACTGCCTTGATACATTTAAATTGATATCTCCTACGGGTTGGCGATGTGGTCCCAGTTGAGTGCCACTTTCTAAGTATTGCTGACATTAAGAATTGCGAGGCAAGGACCCTTGCCATCATCCAAATGTTCTCCTTGGAATTGGACAATTACCGCTAGATGGTGACTAAGAGCTATGACGTCAACGTCAATCACGTTGTGTTACGGACATTCTTGAAGGACACTATTTATTCGAATAGTGAAGTTGGTCTCGCTATATTGGATATATTCTGATAAACCTTTCAGTCGCCTCGTATAATTTGCGAACTTGCTTTGTTTATGAATAAACACTACACTACTCATTGTGTTTCTTACTTAATAGATGTATATTAGACTGAAGTTCAGTCACTGAACATGATATTAAGCCAGTTTATTGAATACAACGAAAATGAAATTTATAGATAAACGTTCTAATACCCAAAGAAATGGGCATTTTATCTTACCAAATGAAACATCTTTAGTCGCATATTGCGTATACGGCTCGTTAATACTTGAAAGAGATCTAATACGGCGTTATACGAAAGTCAAAAATATTGATTAAAATTCACTGTAAACATGCACGGATATGCATATCTGCCAGAACTATAAATCCAAAAGACATTGGAGGACAGTACACGACCTGCATACACGCACGTAGGTATATTTTGCAAACATGAGAGTATATTTTCAGTGCAACGTTTGAAACATATCAGCTGATCTTAAAAAACGCATCATTTTTTCATGTATAGTTATAGTCATGTTACGTATTAGTAGCAAAAGGCAATATGACTAAATGAATAAATGTGAATAAAATGAGCGAGCTTACTTGAAGTTTTTAATTAGGTGACGTAGAAATATAGTCATCTCCCATGTAAATGACGGAGATTTTGGATCAACGTCACAGATAGGTTCCTTTCCATTGATACAAACTATGACCTAAATGTCGAATTAGAAATATATATACTCGGACGAAATGATGAACACCAGGGCTACTCAACTATTTTTACCGACGATCCGCATACAAAACTTCAAAATTATTTGGGTCCGGTCTTTCCAGAAATTATATTTCGGTTTCCCTAAACGCGCACTTCGTCGGTCGGCTAATGATCATTAGCTAATCAAGATTGTTTATTATGGTATCATAGTTCTTTTCATATATTCAAAACTATAAAACTCATCTCGTAAAGGGAAACTGCAAAAGTGGGTCAATGATTCAAAATGTTCCAAATAAAAGTTAATCGTAACGCGATTTCCATGATTTGATTCTCGAAGCTCAAGCATCTAGCAGGCTACGCACACTGGTGGATCTATCGATATGTTAGAGGCATTCGCAATGCATATTTTGTCAAATGTTTCCTGTAACTGTCTGAATTACGTTCGAACTGTACGGTTTGATATACCAGACTTATTACTTTCCGGCCTAGATATTGATTGCTTCGCAAGTGTATGACGATTTTTTATGACGTCACAGGGGAATAAGTCTGAAAAGAACGGCTTCGAGAACTACAAATAATACCAAAAAAATTTTCCGAGAATACAACAACCAAAGGGCAAAGCCTGCATCGTGTGCATCTCATCATAGTAAAATAGTCGTACGGTGGAATCCAGAGGCATTAATTTTTGATATCTATTTCAAAGAACTCTCCTCATCTCTCTATATATATATATTACAATTCGTTACAAGATAAAATAATCGCGTAACAAAAAGAATCGCGTGACAAAAAATGTAGACAATTCGAGGTATTCATATACCTTTGATTGGATGTCTTGAAGTGCTGACTTTCTGGAAAGCTTCTGGTCTTTCTTGTAACCATGGAATCCACTTCGGCGTTTCCTCAAATTAACAGCTGCATTGCGTCAGCCCGTATTTGACCCACAATGCTGCCTTGATCGGCAGAATGGTTTGCGCATTAGTATTGCTTGTGATACTATTCTCCTTCATTACTACTTTTGAACAAATTGATCAAATCACATCTTTGATAGTCTTGAATATTCACAACTCGGCGTTAAACTTCAGTCCTTCATGAGAGACCTCCATTTTCGTACTGACAGACACTTATAACGTCACTAACGTCTAATTAATAACAACGCGGCGCAAATAAATAAAATCACGTTCTTGAATACCTCAGCTGGTATAAGTTTATTTTATTTATAGATTTATTTGACATTTGCGGATTAGTTTACCAGCGCTAGTCGCCTGTATTCATCTCCTCGTTTGTGACCGCGTGGAAACTAGCAAATATTTTCGGAGCATATGAGACCCATATACAATTTTTTCGAGAGGTTATATATATATTATATATATAGGAGTTGCTACTAAATTATTTCCGAGCACCACTTTTCGCAAACAATAGCACAATCCACTTTTATCGACTCCACAAACATTGACTTTAAATTATAATGGGCTGGTTCCGAGCAGCGACATTGTAATTCTCAATACTGAGAACGAAAAGGCAATTGACTATCCCTGGGTTTCAAAATAGGTGTATTCTTGTATTTTTGAATCAGTTAATTGAGTTGAGTTTGATTCGAATATAAATCAAGGAATACGATTTCATTTTAGACAAGCCTTAATTTTAGAGTCTTTCAAAACTATGAATCCAAATGACGAAGGTGGCAAATTTATCTTTTTTCCTGCACCGATGTTAACTTGACGTGGGTTGAAAGTTGGCATCGTGTGAATATCTACCATTCGAAGCTTCTTGTTGTTCAAATAAATGTCACTGCAAACAAGAAATACTAGTTTTCCTATTCAATCACGAAATGTTTATAAATAGAATATTAAGGAATATGTTCATAAGTATTATCCTACCTTGAATTCAAAACTCCCGGTGTAGAAGTCAAAATATAAGTCACTGCTATGGTCAAGTTTTGTTCACTTTGTTGTACAAATGATAATTTCTTTCTACTTGTAGATAAATTGAGATAATATAACGTCACAGATCCTGTTGGATATGTTGTTCTGAATAATATTGATATATTCAGTAAAACTGATATATGCACAAGTTCACAACAGCACTGATTAAAACCTTCAACTATCAAAATCATTCAGGTTTCATACCTTTCTGTGTTGGTGCAATGCGCGTATATTCGAACCTTTGTATGTTGTTTAGAAATTGCACCGATAACTGTTTTCGTAACATTCAAAACTTGAGTTCCGACCAATGTTTTATACAGCAATGTCAGCCAGTAATCCTAAAGGATAAAAGAAAACTATAACATAATTGTCAGCGATTCTGTATACAAAAATAAAAAACGTTGAAAATTGTATGGGATAAGCAGTCTCACAGATTCAGTATTATGTATTTTAAGTTTCATGGAGTACTCACCGGCCTAGGATCGAAATTGTCGTCCAGCAACGCGTAATTTCCTTCTACTAATGTTTGTCTGAATACAATATCTATCCCATTACTTGCAGATAAACCCAGCTTATCAAGCCACCTAAAATTGCACAGAATTTATACCACGTATTTTAACACCTTCTGGTGAACATTGTGCATTTTAATAAGTTTAGTAGTTCAAATATATTCGTTTATCATAGAATACTCACATGAATCCTGCAACGTAAGTGTCCGAAAGACCCTTTGCTCCACCTCCATAGGATGAGCTAGTTTCTCCAATCCAAACGGGAAGATCTGGAGATTGTCGATTAACTATTTCTTTTACATGTTTCAGCTGAAAAGTGAATTTATAGCACTATCATAAATATACTTTAAAACTAATTTTGTCGGTACTCTGCTTACAGCCCTGTAGTTGAAAATCGTTAACAAAAGTTACATAAGAAGGTTCAATGTAGATCAATCGTCAACTTATTTTTTATAGCGATGTATATATATATTGACTTTTCTAGAGTGGAGATAACATTTATTATCTGGTTACAAGTTAATGAGTGTTTTTCATACAAATAACTCATACCAGGTCTTGGAAAAACTAAAGAAATATACTAAAATATTACATGAAAAATTCTAGCATCACCTGTGGTAGTAACTCGTTCAAAAGAGCAGGATCCGTAAAGTTAAAAATTGTTGCCACTCTACTGTCCACGTAGTACCTAAAACGATCATCAACCATTTGTCAAGCCATACCTATTTGTAGATGGTTTTTATCTCCGATAATTGATAATCATAAAATAAGTTTGTTGTCTAGATCGAGTTGATGATGCTAAAATGATGGTCTATCTTTTATCAAAAGCACTGATAGATTCAAAGCAACAAAATAAACAACAAATGAACTCATTAACGGTCATAAATTGCCAAATGGATTATATATGAAATACATTTGAGTTTTTAATTTTTTTAAAATGATGTATCTTCATATTTAGTGTCATGGCTGAAGTAAAATAAAAACATCTTACTGGTGAAATGTCACAGCATTCAAAATAGATCCCATGTAATGAACAACTCTGAAAAACAGTAACATAGTTTTTTTTTCATGAATATGACGATAACTCAATGCGTGGTAAATTATCACCGAAGACAATCTACTTTATAGAGCCACAAAGTTAAATTATTGTATTCTTTTTTCCAAACTGAAAAAATTGAAAAA